TCGGCCCTGAACTTTTTCTATTTATGTTAATTATATTTTGCCAGGAAAAAAAAGTGTACAAAGAAAAATGTTTGAGCAATGGCATTTAGGAAAGATTAAAATCTGTTATTGGTCTATCAGGTGATCTTTGAGGGGCGCAGAGGAAGCTCAGCCCAGTCAGATGTTGCCATTGATGATGTCTCACTGCACAGAGGAGCCTGTAGTGGTATGTTCCTACTCTGTAAAATCAACCTAATGTGTTAAGGCTTAAGAGTAATAAATAGATTTAGCCGATTTATGTAACTTCAGTACTTAAGCATCGCAGTGAAATCTCTCTCTGACTCTGCAGAGCTCACTCTCCCTGACACGTATGGAAATTCTGATGGTACACTCAAAACTAATGTGATATTGTCAAACGGGGATGAAGTACAAAATAAGAAAGAGTTCAGAGACAACTGGAAAGCAACAGATGACAAAAGCACTGCAAGAAAAAGGTAGAGAGCCTTCCTTTTTTTCACATCAGCCCTACTAAATCTGGTTTTTGCTTTGTCATTATGGGGTATGGAGTGTAGTTTGATGTGAAAAAGAATTTTAGCATAAGGCTGCAACATTACAAAATGTGAAAATTTTCTTAGAAATCAAACTAAAATGCTTTGATTTATGATATTCTGAGACGCCTATAATAAAAATATTATACTTTGAGTTTTTTTTTTTCATCATTGTTTTGCATCACATTTGAATTGGTTAAAAGAGGTTTTAGGTTAAAATAGCCTTTACTTATTCACAATTTTAGATTGTTTATGAACCAGTGATTTTGCCCAATGTTGTTTTTTTATTTTTATTTTATTTTTTACAAACATAATTGACACCTGTCTGATTGTTGTTCTTTCATCTTTGATATGCAGGTGGCCCTTGCTATTAAAAAAGCATTCTCAGGCTTGAGCTGAAACATACTTTATACGTGGCAAACAATCAGCTGACAGCACCTGTCAATATGGACCTCCTCCTCTACATAACTCAATCACTCACTCTAGTTTTAGCAAGATCATTCAGTGAGCTGGGTGTGTTGAAATTTGTTTACTTAGGAAGTATCAGTTATATATATTATAGTCTCAAACATAGTCATTTCATCATATGTACAACAAAATGCTTATCAGCTTTTTATAGATAAGGTGTTAACCCCTAATATATATATGTGTGAATTTTCTTTTCAAGTGGTCTCCTAGTCCTCCATTACATTAACTATGAAAATGTCCTACTAATGTTTGAACATCCACAAAACATCCATATGCTTATTTTAATTTTCAACAATTAAACAATTTTAATGTGTGTGTGTGTGTGTGTGTGTGTGTGTGTGTGTGTGTGTGTGTGTGCGCGTGTGTTTGCACGTAAAATGTGAGACAAATATATTTTTGACTTAATTTAAAAACATTTAATAAACATTAAAATTGAATTCAATAAACCCTTGGAATGGTCCTGTTGCTTATTTATCTTTTGTTTACCAGCATTCCTGTCATAGTTTCAGACTATTAAGTGTATTGACATATGACAAACCTGCTGAGCAAGATGCAATAGCCTCAAGAAAACTCAGCAGATCAAGTACAAAACAGTTAAATGGCAAGAAAATCAGTTGAATTGGACACGTGTATCTAAAGAGGATGAATGTTTTAGTTCATTTCTGGCATCTCTTTCTACTCTTGTACCAAAGAAACATGAACCTTGCATCAGGTAAGTCAGATATAAAACCTGCCATACACATGTTTTGTGAGAAACTTCAGGTAAAAAAATAAAATAAAATAAAAACGTTCACGTATTGGTCAATTTTGAGATTTTTTTTGCGTTCTTTCCCAGACAGTGGAAAGAAAACATCCAAAGTATAGCCTACATTTAAGTGTTTCTTTTATGTTTCTTAAGATAGATTTCAGTTCCATATCTTTAAAAGGCATTTTCTCTTCACTTAAGCACTTACATACAGCTGACTTTTAATCCAGTTTTATTTAATAACAAATTATCATTTCACCAGAAGTGAATCAATCAAACTAAATTTAGCTGGAAAACAACATTATTCAAGAACCGCTATAAAACTAAACCAATCTGTTACCTTAAATTATATCAAGTTTATCTCTGTAAAGCTGCTTTGAAACAATCTACATTGTTAAAAGCGCCATATAAATGAGGATGACTTGACTTGATCTATTCTTCAGAAAGTTTCGTATATCATTCGCCTGATTTATATAACATTTTACTTTGATTTATTGAATTATGAAAGAGAATCCAAAGCTGTAAAAACTTTAATTAATATTTGACATTTTATTTGATTAAAAAAATCAACAACAAAAAAACCCAGTAATATTGTGTAATATTATTACAAATTAAAACAGCCGTTTTCTATGCGAATATATAGTAAAGTGTATAGTTCCTTGAATCAAAGCTGAATTTTCAGCATCATTCTAACATGATTTGATGCTCAAAAACATTTCTCATTATTATCAATGTTAAAAACAGTTCTTTACATTTTTATTTTAGAATTCGTTGATGAATAGAAAGTTCAAAAGAACAGCATTTCTCTGAAATAAAGCTTTTGTAACATTAAACACTACCATTCAAATGTTTGGTACGGAAGCCCTGAACCTCAACGTAAAATAAATAAATAAAATAAATCTAGCATTTCGAGATTAAAGCCACACTATGCAGGATTTCGTTTTTTGTCAAACTGTGACCTCTAGAGACGCTGTGGAGTACTTGTACTGTCGTAAATAGCACTCACGGCCTGATCCCCTCCCCCTGTATACCGGTACCTGTTCAGTAGGATGGAATGGGTTACTATTGTGTTCTCGACCTGGATAGTGTTGCCCAGACGAGCACGAAAACACCTCAAAAACACTGCCATAAGTTTGGACCAGATTGTGATACCTACTCTGGCAGAGTCTTCAAATATAATATCTGCCAGAGTCTTCTATATTTCAAATAAATGCTGTTCTTTTGAACTTTCTATTCATCATAGAATCCTGAAAAAAAATAGTGTTCAACATTGCTAATAATAATGAATGTGTTTTGAGCGACATATCAACATATTAGAATGATTTCTGAAGGATCATGTGACACTGAAGACTGGGGTAATGATGCTGAAAATGCAGCTTCGATCAAAGGAATAAATTCCATTTTAAAATATATTAAAATTATATTAATATAAAAAAATATTTAAAATTGTCATAATATTTACAATATTATAGTTGTTATTGTATTTTTCATCAAATAAATGCAGCCTTGGTGAGCAGAAGAGACTTAAAAAAAAAAATCTTACCGATCCACAACTTTTGGCTGGTAGTATAAAAGGATGCTAAAGGATTATTAGGAACACCTGTTCAATTTCTCAATAATGCAATTATCTAATCAACCAATCACATGGCAGTTGCTTCAATGCATTTAGGGGTGTGGTCCTGGTCAACACAATCTCCTGAACTCCAAACTGAATGTCAGAATGGGAAAGAAAGTGATTTAAGCAATTTTGAGTGTGGCATGGTTGTTGGTGCCAGACGGGCCAGTCTAAATATTTCACAATCTGTTCAGTCACTGAGATTTTCACGAACAACCATTTCTAGGGTTTACAAAGGATGGAGTGAAAAGGGAAAAATATCCAGTATGCGGCAGTCCTGTGGGCGAAAATGCCTTGTTGATGCTAGGGGTCAGAGGAGAATGGGGCGACTGATTCAAGCTGATAGAAGAGCAACTTTGACTGAAATAACCACTCGTTACAACCGAGGTATGCAGCAAAGCATTTGTGAAGCCACAACACGCACAACCTTGAGGCGAATGGGCTACAACAGCAGAAGACCCCACCGGATACCACTCATCTCCACTACAAATAGGAAAAATAGGCTACAATTTGCAAGAGCTCACCAAAATTGGACAGTTGAAGACTGGAAAAATGTTGCCTGGTCTGATGAGTCTCGATTTCCGTTGAGACATTCAGAGAGTCAGAATTTAGCTTAAACAGAATGAGAACATGGATCCATCATGCCTTGTTACCACTGTGCAGCCTGGTGGTGGTGGTGTAATGGTGTGGGGGATGTTTTCTTGGCACACTTTAGGCCTCTTAGTGCCAATTGGGCATCGTTTAAATGCCACGGCCTACCTGAGCATTGTTTCTGACCATGTCCATCCCTTTATGGCCACCATGTACCCATCCTCTGATGGCTTCCAGCAGGATAATGCACCATGTCACAAAGCTCGAATCATTTCAAATTGGTTTCTTGAACATGACAATGTGTTCACTGTACTAAAATGGCCCCCACAGTCACCAGATCTTAACCCAATAGAGCATCTTTGGGATGTGGTGAAACAGGAGCTTCATGCCCTGGATGTGCATCCCACAAATCTCCATCAACTGCAAGACGCTATCCTATCAATATGGGCAAATATAAATAGTAATAGCCAAATAGTATTTATATCCTTTAAAATAGAGCCACTAATTTAAATTAATTCTTCTCTGCGTGAGAAGGTATTTTGGTATAATTTCAGATAGCCCCAAAGCAGCACTGTGCACCACAGGGAAGAATTGGGGGTACAAAGCTTGCCAAAAGTGTTGATTTGAAAACTGTGAAAAGGTGTTTTATCTTGATATATGCATTATATTTGGATCCCCAAGTATATGTTGTTGATGTTGTCACGTCTTGATCATCGAAAGAGCTGCACTCAACTCTGCCCTGTCTCGGGTCTTGTATCTTTCAGCCCTGTGTTCAGAACCCACAGTGCTCTGCTGTGCTGGCAGGAATGACACTTGCACACGGGATTGTTACTGTGATGAGCACTGCTTCACAGTCGGAGACTGCTGTGCTGACTACTATCATACATGCATTCAGCGTAAGACTAAATACACTCAACACAACACACTGACCAAGAAAATCATGATAGTCCAAAAACCAAAAATACAATAGGTTTTGTATGCAGCCATGTTGCTGTGTAGTTTTGCTTTGAGATAAGGTATTATTCACATATGTCCCAATTCACCATCAATCTCAATGTCTATGTATGCAATAATTCTCTTTACCAACAGGATCAACAGCTTTTCCACTTTTTCCAACATCCCAGCAATCTTCAACACCATCTTCACCATCATCACAGACATCACACTCATCCTCACCATCCATGGCACCATCTTCATCACCAACTGCAATGCTCTCATCATCTACCTCATTTTCTCTATCATCATCTTCCTCAACCTTACTATCATCAACAAATTCACAAGTTTCATCACCAACATTAACAATGTCATCATCAACATCTTTAGTACTATCATCTTCACCATCTTCATCAGTCCCACTATTGTCATCATCAACCCCAGCAGCACAACCCACACTAATAGCAACCTCTACGTCATCTTCCTCATCTTTACCATCATCAGCAAATGTACAGCCTTCAGCATCAACCCCATCATCTTCATCACCAACATCATCATCAACATCCTCAAAGCTATCATCTACACCATCTTCATCAGTCTCACTATCATCACCATCATCTTCAACACCATTCTCCACACCAGCATTATCCACATCATCATCCACACTATCATTTTCAACCCCACAATCTTCATCAATCTCAATAACATTGTTACCTGCACCAACAACATCATCATCATCAATAACTGCTTTATCAGGTGACTACTTTAACTATATAATTATTAACTAATTTATTGCAATTATTAGTATAATTCACCAAAACCAATCGGCATTTAATCAGACAGCATTAGACTCATATTTTTTTGTTTTCACACCATCATTCTCAAATTATTTACCATCATCTTCACTAACAGCCTCAACAGCCTTGCCACTATTTACAACATCCCAAAGGTCTTCAGCACCAACCCCACCATCATCACAGACCTCACCACAGTCTTCATTATCCTCACTAACCATGATCCCATCTTCACCATCTATGTCACCAACCAGATCCTCTTCACCTTCACCAAGCTCAGCAGAATCAGCATTATCATCCACACCATCATCATCACCAATGCCACCATCTTCATCAAAATCAACACAACTTTTATCATACTTACCATCTTTAATATCACCAACTACACAGCCATCTTCATCATTACCAACTACAAGACTGTCATCAGCATCCTCACTGACCTCACCACCATTCTTCTCTAAATCATACAAATCATTAACATATTCATCATCCTCACCCACATCATCATCATCCTCAATACCAGCAACTTCACCCCAACCTTCACTATCATCAATTTTGCATTCTTCATCACAATCCACACCATCTTCATCACCAACATTAATATCTTTATCAACATCATCTTTATCATCTTCACCATCATCATCAGTCACAATATTGTCATCGTCTTATTCTCCAACACTATCATCACCAACATTACCATCATCATCAACAACATCATCAATACTATCATATCCACCATCTTTACCGTTTATAGGACAATCTTCATCAGTCCCATTAACATCATCATCATCAACCGCACCAGCACAGCTCTCGATATCAGCAGAAGCATCATCTTCCTTATCCTTACCATCATTATCATCATCATCATCATCATCATCATCATCAATATCATCATCAACAACGTCTTCAATACTATCTTCCATGCCATCCTCATCATCTTCAACACTATCATCTGCACCTTCTTCATCATATTCACCATCTTCAACACCAAACTTAACAAGATCAACATCTTCAGTCCTATCATCTCCACCATCCATAGCACCATTTTCATTAGGCCCACCATCATCATCATCAACCCAACAAGCACAGCCCTTACTATCAGCAACTTTTACATCATCTTCCTCGTTCTTACCATCAAAATCAAACTCACAGCCTACATCACCATCCCCACTATCTTCAACACCAACATTATCAACAACATCTAAAACAATACCACCTACACTATTCTCAGCATCATCTTCATCAGTCTCCTTAACATCACAATCATCATCAACCCTGGGAGGACAGTCCTCAGTAGCAGCAACCTCTACATCATCTTCCTCATTCTTACCATCATCAGCAATCCTGCTGCTTTCATCATCATTCACACCATCTTCATCACCAACATTAACATTGTTATCATCAACATCTTCAATACCATCAACAGCACCCTCTTCATCAGTCGCACTATTGTCATCATCTTCTTCGAGACTATCATCTGCACCATATTCATCATCTTTACCATCTTCATCACCATCATTAACATCACCATTAACAACATCTTCAATGCTATCATCTCAAGCATCTTCACCATTCCCACTAACATCATCATTCACCCCACCAGCACAGCCCCCACCATCAGCAACCTCCACGTCATCTTCCTCATCCTTAACATCATCATTAAAGTCACAGCATTCACAGCCATCCACACCACAAACATCATTATCGTCATCATCATCAACAATGTCTTCAATACTATCTTCCACGCCATTCTCATCAACTTCACCATCCCTATCAATCCCACTGTTGTCTTTATTATCATCATCATCATATTCAACACTATCATCTGCACCATATTCATCATCCATAGCACCATCTTCATTTTTCCCACTATCTTCATCATCATCATCATCATCATCATCAACACAACAAGCACAGCCCTTACTATCAGCAACCACTACATCATCTTCCTCATTCTTACCATCAAAATCAAACTCACAGCCTACATCACCATCCCCACTATCTTCAGCACCAACATTACCATCAACATCTACAATAATAACACCTACACTATTCTCAGCATCATCTTCATCAGTCTCCTTAACATCACAATCATCATCAACCCTGGGAGGACAGTCCTCAGTAGCAGCAACCTCTACATCATCTTCCTCATTCTTACCATCATCAGCAATCTTGCTGCCTTCATCATCATTCACACCATCTTCATCACCACCATTAACATCGTTATCAACATCTTCAATACCATCAACAGCACCCTCTTCATCAGTCGCACTATTGTCATCATCTTCTTCAACACTATCATCTGCACCATATGCATCATCTTTACCATCTTCATCACCATCATTACCATCATCATCATCATCATTAACAACATCTTCAATGCTATCATCTCCAGCCTCTTCACCATTCCCACTAACATCATCATCAACCCCACCAGCACAGCCCCCACCATCAGCAACCTCCACATCATCTTCCTCATCCTTAACATCATCATTAAACTCACAGCATTCACAGCCATTCACACCACAAAAATCATCATCATCAACATCACCGCCCTTACTATCAGCAACCTCTACATCATCTTCCTCATTCTTACCATCATCAGCAATCTTGCTGCCTTCATCATCATTCACACCATCTTCATCACCAACATTAACATCGTTATCAACAACATCTTCAATACCATCAACAGCACCCTCTTCATCAGTCGCACTATTGTCATCATCTTCAACACTATCATCTGCACCATATTCATCATCTTTACCATCTTCATCACCATCATTAACATCATCATCATCTTCATTAACAACATCTTCAATGCTATCATCTCCAGCCTCTTCACTATTCCCACTAACATCATCACCAACCCCACCAGCACAGCCCCCACCATCAGCAACCTCCACATCATCTTCCTCATCCTTAACATCATCATTAAACTCACAGCATTCACAGCCATCCACACCACAAACATCATCATCATCATCATCATCTTCAACAACAACATCTTCAAAACTATATTCTACGCCATTCTCATCATCTTCACCATCGCCATCAGTCCCACTGTTGTCTTCATTATCATCATCATCATCATCATATTCAACACTATCATCTGCACCATATTCATCATCCATAGCACCATTTTCATTTTTCCCACTATCTTCATCATCATCAACACAACAAGCACTGCCCTTACTTTCAGCAACCTCTACATCATCTTCCTCATTCTTACCATCAAAATCAAACTCACAGCCTACATCACCATCCCCACTATCTTCAGCACCAACATTACCATCAACATCTACAATAATAACACCTACACTATTCTCAGCATCATCTTCATCAGTCTCCTTAACATCACAATCATCATCAACCCTAGGAGGACAGTCCTCAGTAGCAGCAACCTCTACATCATCTTCCTCATTCTTACCATCATCAGCAATCTTGCTGTCTTCATCATCATTCACACCATCTTCATCACCAACATTAACAACGTTATCATCAACATCTTCAATACCATCAACAGCACCCTCTTCATCAGTCGCACTATTGTCACCATCATCTTCTTCAACACTATCATCTGCACCATATTCCTCATCTTTACCATCTTCACCACCATCATTAACATCATCATCATCATCATTAACAACATCTTCAATGCTATCATCTCCAGCCTCTTCACCATTCCCACTAACATCATCACCAACCCCACCAGCACAGCCCCCACCATCAGCAACCTCCACATCATCTTCCTCATCCTTAACATCGTTATTATACTCACAGCATTCACAGCCATCCACACCACAAACATCATTATCATCATCATCATCATCAACAACATCTTCAAAACTATCTTCTACGCCATTCTCATCATCTTCACCATCGCCATCAGTCCCACTGTTGTCTTCATTATCACCATCATCATCATATTCAACACTATCATCTGCACCATATTCATCATCCATAGCACCATCTTCATTTTTCCCACTATCTTCATCATCATCAACACAACAAGCACTGCCCTTACTTTCAGCAACCTCTACATCATCTTCCTCATTCTTACCATCAAAATCAAACTCACAGCCTACATCACCATCCCCACTATCTTCAGCACCAACATTACCATCAACATCTACAATAATAACACCTACACTATTCTCAGCATCATCTTCATCAGTCTCCTTAACATCACAATCATCATCAACCCTAGGAGGACAGTCCTCAGTAGCAGCAACCTCTACATCATCTTCCTCATTCTCACCATCATCAGCAATCTTGCTGCCTTCATCATCATTCACACAATCTTCATCACCACCATTAACATCGTTATCAACATCTTCTATACCATCAACAGCACCCTCTTCATCAGTCGCACTATTGTCACCATCATCTTCTTCAACACTATCATCTGCACCATATTCCTCATCTTTACCATCTTCATCACCATCATTACCATCATCATCATCATCATCATCATTAACAACATCTTCAATGCTATCATCTCCAGCCTCTTCACCATTCCCACTAACATCATCATCAACCCCACCAGCACAGCCCCCACCGTCAGCAACCTCCCATCATCTTCCTCATCCTTAACATCATCATTAAACTCACAGCATTCACAGCCATCCACACCACAAACATCATTATCATCATCATCATCATCATCAACAACAACGTCTTCAATACTATCGTCCACGCCATTCTCATCAACTTCAGCACCATCTTCATCGGTCCCACTATTGTCTTCATCATCATCATCATCATCATCATTTTCAACACTATCATCTGCACCATCTTCATCATCCATAGCACCATCTTCATTAGTACTACTATCTTCATCATCATCATCATCAACAACACATCAAGCACAGCCCTTACAATCAGCAACCTCTACATCATCTTCCTCATTCTTACCATCATCAGCAATCTTGCTGCCTTCATCATCATTCACACCATATTCATCACCACCATTAACATCGTTATCAACATCTTCAATACCATCAACAGCACCCTCTTCATCAGTCGCACTATTGTCATCATCTTCAACACTATCATCTGCACCATATTCATCATCTTTACCATCTTCATCACCATCATTACCATCATCATCATCTTCATTAACAACATCTTCAATGCTATCATCTCCAGCCTCTTCACCATTCCCACTAACATCATCACCAACCCCACCATCACAGCCCCCACCATCAGCAACCTCCCCATCATCTTCCTCATCCTTAACATCATCATTAAACTCACAGAATTCACAGCCATTCACACCACAAACATCATCATCATCATCATCAACATCACCGCCCTTACTATCAGCAACCTCTACATCATCTTCCTCATTCTTACCATCATCAGCAATCTTGCTGCCTTCATCATCATTCACACCATCTTCATCACCAACATTAACACCGTTATCATCAACATCTTCAATACCATCAACAGCACCCTCTTCATCGGTCGCACTATTGTCATCATCTTCAACACTATCATCTGCACCATATTCATCATCTTTACCATCTTCATCACCATCATTAACATCATCATCATCTTCATTAACAACATCTTCAATGCTATCATCTCCAGCCTCTTCACTATTCCCACTAACATCATCACCAACCCCACCAGCACAGCCCCCACCATCAGCAACCTCCACATCATCTTCCTCATCCTTAACATCATCATTAAACTCACAGCATTCACAGCCATCCACACCACAAACATCATCATCATCATCATCATCATCTTCAACAACAACATCTTCAAAACTATATTCTACGCCATTCTCATCATCTTCACCATTGCCATCAGTCCCACTGTTGTCTTCATTATCATCATCATCATCATCATCATCATCATCATCATATTCAACACCATCATCTGCACCATATTCATCATCCATAGCACCATCTTCATTTTTCCCACTATCTTCATCATCATCATCATCATCATCATCAACACAACAAGCACTGCCCTTACTATCAGCAACCACTACATCATCTTCCTCATTCTTACCATCAAAATCAAACTCACAGCCTACATCACCATCCCCACTATCTTCAGCACCAACATTACCATCAACATCTACAATAATAACACCTACACTATTCTTAGCATCATCTTCATCAGTCTCCTTAACATCACAATCATCATCAACCCTGGGAGGACAGTCCTCAGTAGCAGCAACCTCTACATCATCTTCCTCATTCTTACCATCATCAGCAATCTTGCTGTCTTCATCATCATTCACACCATCTTCATCACCAACATTAACATCGTTATCATCAACATCTTCAATACCATCAACAGCACCCTCTTCATCAGTCGCACTATTGTCATCATCATCTTCTTCAACACTATCATCTGCACCATATTCATCATCTTTACCATCTTCACCACCATCATTAACATCATCATCATCATCATTAACAACATCTTCAATGCTATCATCTCCAGCCTCTTCACCATTCCCACTAACATCATCACCAACCCCACCAGCACAGCCCCCACCATCAGCAACCTCCACATCATCTTCCTCATCCTTAACATCGTTATTATACTCACAGCATTCACAGCCATCCACACCACAAACATCATTATCATCATCATCATCAACAACATCTTCAAAACTATCTTCTACGCCATTCTCATCATCTTCACCATCGCCATCAGTCCCACTGTTGTCTTCATTATCACCATCATCATCATATTCAACACTATCATCTGCACCATATTCATCATCCATAGCACCATCTTCATTTTTCCCACTATCTTCATCTTCATCATCATCATCATCATCATCAACACATCAAGCACAGCCCTTACTATCAGCAACCACTACATCATCTTCCTCATTCTTACCATCAAAATCAAAATCACAGCCTACATCACCATCCCCACTATCTTCAGCACCATCATTACCATCAACATATACAATAATAACACCTACACTATTCTCAGCATCATCTTCATCAGTCTCCTTAACATCACAATCATTATCAACCCTAGGAGGACAGTCCTCAGTAGCAGCAACCTCTACATCATCTTCCTCATTCTTACCATCATCAGACATCTTGCTCTCTTCATCATCATTCACACAATCTTCATCACCAAAATTAACATTGTTATCATCAACATCTTCAATACCATCAACAGCACCCTCTTCATCAGTTGCACTATTGTCATCATCTTCTTCGACACTATCATCTGCACCATATTCATCATCTTTACCATCTTCATCACCATCATTAACATCATCATCATCATCATTAACAACATCTTCAATGCTATCATCTCCAGCCTCTTCACCATTCCCACTAACATCATCATCATCAACCCCACCAGCACAGCCCCCACCATCAGCAACCTCCCCATCATCTTCCTCATCCTTAACATCATCATTAAACTCACAGCATTCACAGCCATCCACACCACAAACATCATCAACAACATCTTCAAAACTATCTTCCATGCCATTCTTATCATCTTCACCATCGCCATCAGTCCCACTGTTGTCTTCATTATCATCATCATATTCAACACTATCATCTGCACCATATTCATCATCCATACCACCATCTTCATTAGTCCTACTATCTTCATCATCATCAACACAACAAGCACCGCCCTTACTATCAGCAACATCTACATCATCTTCCTCATTCTTACCATCAAAATCAAACTCACAGCCTACATCACCATCCCCACTATCTTCAGCACCAACATTATCAACAACATCTAAAACAATACCACCTACACTATTCTCAGCATCATCTTCATCAGTCTCCTTAACATCACAATCATCATCAACCCTAGGAGGACAGTCCTCAGTAGCAGCAACCTCTACATCATCTTCCTCATTCTTACCATCATCAGCAATCTTGCTGTCTTCATCATCATTCACACCATCTTCATCACCAACATTAACATCGTTATCATCAACATCTTCAATACCATCAACAGCACCCTCTTCATCAGTCGCACTATTGTCATCATCATCTTCAACACTATCATCTGCACCATATTCATCATCTTTACCATCTTCATCACCATCATCATTAACAACATCTTCAATGCTATCATCTCCAGCCTCTTCACCATTCCCACTAACATCATCACCAACCCCACCAGCACAGCCCCCACCATCAGCAACCTCCACATCATCTTCCTCATCCTTAACATCATCATTAAACTCACAGCATTCACAGCCATCCACACCACAAACATCATCATCATCATCATCATCATCATCATCAACAACAACAACATCTTCTTCAAAACTATCTTCTACGCCATTCTCATCATCTTCACCATCGCCATCAGTCCCACTGTTGTCTTCATTATCATCATCATCATCATCATATTCAACACTATCATCTGCACCATATTCATCATCCATAGCACCATCTTCATTTTTCCCACTATCTTCATCATCATCAACACAACAAGCACTGCCCTTACTTTCAGCAACCTCTACATCATCTTCCTCATTCTTACCATCAACATCAAACTCACAGCCTACATCACCATCCCCACTATCTTCAGCACCATCATTACCATCAACATATACAATAATAACACCTACACTATTCTTAGCATCATCTTCATCAGTCTCCTTAACATCACAATCATCATCAACCCTAGGAGGACAGTCCTCAGTAGCAGCAACCTCTACATCATCTTCCTCATTCTCACCATCATCAGCAATCTTGCTGCCTTCATCATCATTCACACAATCTTCATCACCACCATTAACATCGTTATCAACATCTTCTATACCATCAACAGCACCATCTTCATCATCTTCACCATTGTCAGCAGCACCATCTTCATCAGTCTCACTTTTGTCATCTTCAACACTATCATCTGCACCATATTTATCATCTTTACCATCTTCATCACCATCATCATCATCATTAACAACATCTTCAATGCTATCATTTCCAGCCTCTTCACCATTCCCAGTAACATCATCATCAACCCCACCAGCACAGCCCCCACCATCAGCAACCTCCACATCATCTTCCTCATCCTTAACATCATCATCAAACTCACAGCATTCACAGCCATCCACACCACAAACATCATTATCGTCATCATCAACAACGTCTTCAATGATATCGTCCATGCCATTCTCATCATCTTCACCATCTTCAGCAACATCTTCATCAGTCCCACTATTGTCTTCATTATCATCATCATCATCATTTTCAACACTATCATCTGCACCATCTTCATCATCCATAGCACCATCTTCATTAGTCACACTATCTTCATCATCAACACAACAAGCACCGCCCTTACTATCAGCAACCTCTACATCATCTTCCTCATTCTTACCATCATCAGCAATCTTGCTGTCTTCATCATCATTCACACCATCTTCATCACCAACATTAACATCGTTATCATCAACATCTTCAATACCATCAACAGCACCATCTTCATCAGTCTTACTATTGTCATCATCATCTTCTTCAACACTATCATCTGCACCATATTCATCATCTTTACCATCTTCATCACCATCATCATTAACAACATCTTCAATGCTGTCATCTCCAGCATCTTCACCATTCCCACTAACATCATCATCCACCCCACCAGCACAGCCCCCACCATCAGCAACCTCCACATCATCTTCCTCATCCTTAACATCATCATCAAACTCACAGCATTCGCCATTGTCTTCATCAATAACTTTACATTCATCATCCCCAGCAGCAACACCATCATCCCCCTTTTCTCCACAATCCTCAATGACTTCTCAAACCACACCACCATCACCCTCACTTTCAGCAACACCAACGATACCACCATCCCCACGGCTGTCTTCGTTAATAACCTCACCACCATCACCATCCCCTTTTTCTCCAGCATTCCTATTGACTTCACAATCCACATCACCAACCTCATTACCATCTTCATCACCACATTCACCATCCCCACAATTTTCTTCATCACTAACCTCACAACCAGCAACACCATCACCGTCAGCTTCATCCTCAGCAAACTCTCAATCATTCTCATCATCCTCACCCCTGTTATCATCATCACCGACCTCCCCCTCATTTAGATCATCCTCACCATCAACATCATTAGTGGATAAGAAGAGAATGACCACAGGCATGCACGTGTTTGTGCGTTCCAGGGCTAATAAGGAAGCAACGCTAAAGGCTGTGCAAGGTGTAAGTCAGACTCATTCCTAAAATCACTGCCTGCATAAATTTGCTTTATTGCCAACTAATAACTGCTCCTCGGTGAGAATTTTACAGTACCAAAATTCAAGGGTTTATAAAACTAAAAAAGGCACTGAACTAGCATTTAAAAAAATACATTGGCAACACTGAAAAAACACTGGCAACAGATTAGAGAGTTGTGAGTAATATTCTTCTCCTCTGTGTTTAGTTTGTTCTTCACATGGAGGCCGTCATGAGGAGACAGCAGGCCGAAGACTGCAGGCTACGACTTTTGAAAGACACTGCTATAAAAATATCAATGTATATAACTAGGGGTGTGCGATGTGACGATTTTTAATCGTGGACGATTAAAATGTCTCCACGATCTGCTTTTGAAGAAATATGGTAGTATCGTGTAACAGTGCATTCTATCAGTTCAGTTCTGGCGCCTCTGTCTCAAAGATACAACGCATCGTAGCCTACACATCACATAATGAATAGGTACGAGACACTGCAATTCACAAAAGCTCATTATTTGCATAAGCCTTGCCGGTTAAACATTTAATTCACGCGCTGATGCGCTGTTCTAACGTGCCTGTCAAACAGCACCTGAATACTGGAGTCTAGACTAAGTTATCTTTCGAGTCTTATTATGCTAATACTGTTAAATACACACAATGTTTACATAAACAGGCTATGTCTAAAGTGAAAGCAAACATTTGAGAGAATATCTGGTGTAATATGCGTCTATATTAAACGCGTCCCTTGCTGGTCTAAAAGCGACAGGAGTAAATACTACTGCGGCTGCCGCTTGTCCTTAAAGGGATAGTTCACACAAAAAAAAAAAAAAAAAAAAAATCTGTCATTATTTACTCACCCTAATATTGTTCCAAAGCTGTATTAATTTCTTTCTTGTGCTGAACACCACTTTTTTTTTAATGTTTTTTTTTTTTTTTTTTTTTTAATGTGGGTAACCAAACAGTTGCTGGTCCCCATCAACTTCCAGGAGAGAAAAAAAAAACTATAGGGGGACCAGCAACTGTTCGGTTACCCACATTATTCAAAATAACTTTAATTTTCAACAGAAGAAAGAAACTTATTCGGGTTTAAAACATTTTGGAGTAACTATTTTCATTTTAGAGGGAACTATCCTTTTAGTGTTAATAAAACAAAACAAACAAAAAAACACCAGGAGAAAATCACTTACTGTAGTGATGAAGTCATAACATTGGTTCACTTTACAATCAAACAATAAAAATTATGGATAAAAAGCCAATCCGTTACCATCACTGTTACATCCTCAAGAAATATAATATATTAAGCTTTGAAAGCTTCAGTAATTTATGTTTTTTAAAATTAATTTTCAAGTGCATTAATAATTTAGCACCCGAGCCGCTTAGTAAATTTGTTCAAGTACAGAACAGCAAAAGAGCTACCAGAAGCAGCACAAATCATAACTGTACAATACCATACTGTAGGACAAGCTTTGCACAGACAGCCTTTTCTGTTAAGAGCGCTAGACTCCGGAATTCATTACCATCGGACATTAAGGTCATATCTGACTTGAAAAAGTTCACTTCAAGGATTAAATTGTGGCTAAAGGCAAACCAAAACTGTAACCATTTTTAACAATTGTTACTTTTCTGGTTGTGTGTATGTGTGTTTGAAGAAATGGGATTGTTTTATATTTGTATGTATTTTTTTTTTATAATGTATTTAGAAATGCCCAACCAGGGACAGGAGTTGTAAATTAGCATTAGCTATAAACTCTATATGCTGCGCATCAGTTACAGGCTCTGTATTGTGACTATGTTTGACTGTATGGTCCCTGTTAAATAAATAAATAATAAATAAATAAATAAGTCTATGTAGTGCTTTAATTTTATATTTGTTCATTTAATTACTTTCTTCAATGCTACTGCTAAATACACCTACTGCATCTGAAAAAATAAAGCACTATTTATTTAATTTGAATATTAATTTGTGTAATGTTTATCTTGTCTTATTTTATTAATTTTTTTTTTTTTGATAACAAAGAAAACAATGAAAAAGAATTTTATATTCACCACTGGCCTAAATGTATGCCTTTCTTTTTTCTTTTGTTACCTAAGGCTTTGTTTTTAACATAGGGACATTCGTTTGGCTATAATGAACAGCCACTTGCTTACAAAATAGTAAAACCAACTTTAAACAGGCTAGAATCGTGATAAAAAATCGTGATCGTGATTTTCTAAAAAAAATCGTGATATGATATTTTTGCCATATCGCCCACCCCTAATAACACATCACATGACCGAGACGTCCACATCATATAATATCTGCCATATTTTAGAACATCAGTAGCTTTGTGGATGTTCTCTGTTTTATACTACATAAACTCTCATTTCCTGAACTACAGCAAAGACTTTTCTCATGTTCCTGCAAGTTCAAGTGGTTTGTCAGTAGGTGGCACTAGAGCATAAAACACCAGTAAGGAGAACATCCCTGGAACAGATTGAAGCCTGTTGCAGGCTTACTTTTACTGTATTTTTGATCGTTTAAAATATTGCCATCAAATAGAGTTTGATGTTAGAATACATACTATCATGACCAAAAACACATAGCCATAAAATACTTGCCAATTATTCTATTTTTAATTAGAATTATTATATTAACTAAAATAATTTATAATTGTGTTCTCCTGTCTTCCATCTTAAATGTATTATTTCACTAAGCTCATTGCAGTGCATTCTAGAATTGCATTTTCAGCAAATGATTTGCATGATAATATATCGTTTCAAAAGGTAGGCAGCATCATGTAATTTTTTAGATATTTATATTTAAATAGGGGTGGTGATGGCGCAGTGGATAAGACATGTGCCTTTGGTATGAAAGACCCAGGTTCGAATCCACCGTGAGACACCAATGTGTCCCTGAGCAAGACACTTAACCTCTTAACCTCGTGCAACTTCTGACATATATAGCAATTGTAAGTCACTTTGGATAAAAGCGTCAGATAAATGTAAATCTATACTCATCTTTATTCAGCATTACATAATTGTAAAATTATTTAACAAATTGGTGTTGTCCTTTTTAAGTACAAAGTCCAGAATTCTACTGAGTCGTTTACCAATATTTGTAAATGCGGTGGGTCCCATATGTTGTATATTTAATAAATGGGCCTACCTTTGTTTTAATGTAGTTTAATAAAACTTTGTAAATGTCTTCTGAGTTTTAATGTTTTATCTACTTTGTTCATAGAAAATATTTGTAATTATTGCACATTACACAAAACATTTTTAAGGGTGCATTCTTTGGAGTAGAACTTATTCTTCTGATGCCAGCAGAACATGCGTGTCAGGCTGCAGGTAAGAGGAAACTATCTAAAAAAAAAAAAGAGTGTGAGTGTGCATGTGCATGTGTGGGGAAAGATTACAAAATGGTCTGGGTGTACAGTATATATATATATATATATATATAAAACATCCCTTCAGAGCTTTTTTGTAATCTTCCACACAAACCACACTCTTTTTTCTTTAGTTTCCTCTAGCCTGCAGCCTGGCACGCATGTTCTGCTATGACACTTGGCATCAGATATCAGATAATGATTACGTGGAATGCTCCAAAGAATGCAGCCATAAAAAATGTTTTGTGTAATGTGAATAATTCCAAATACCCTTGTTATGTTCCATGTTTTCTCAACTCACGCAATAGCTTTGTGTGAGGATCATAAAATTCAGGTATCGTCCTTAAGGTAAAAATTACAGCAGTGTTCAGTTGGAGGGAACTGCACTCTTCACTCTTCTCCTATTTGGAAGACTAGTATTCTACTTCAAGAAGCATTGGGAAAACCCCTGTAAATGTTAAATTCCTCATTTTCCACAGAACTTGAGTGACGTACATGTGTACAAGGAAATTATGCTTCTGGGTGTGTATTTCACTAATGCTTGACTCAAACACCTAAACACCATACACACTCAGCTGGAAGATGAAGGTCTCGTGTGCTCAAGCCTGGTTTTTCTTATTGTTCCTGGTCGAAAATGACAGAAACCAGGTTTCAGGTAAGACAGATGGTGTGCTTCAGATAAAGTTCTATGAGAAACACAGCAAACAAGAAAAACTAGCAGGAACTTGAAACAAGTGGTCTATCATTTTGAGTTATTCTTGTGACTACTACTTGTGACATATTTATTGTGGTTGTTTGTATGAGAAGTTTGTTTAGAAGGATAAAAATAAAATAAAAATATCCTATTTAGAAAATGTCATATTATATATTTTTTTAAATAGGACAAAACTATTAAAACTGGACATAATTTTTTGTGAAAGAGAGCAACGGACTTGAAAATGTACAGTAGGTCTTGTATTTGTATGCACAATAATAAAATATGAAAAAGCATTAATAGTATGTAAAATATATTAACATTAATTAAGTCATATTCCATCAATCACATGGTTTAGGTATACAGGTTTAAATTATTTCCATTTTTTATGCAATTGGTGCCATGGTCATAAAATCCTTTTGGATTCTAAACAACAAGCGAATTTATTTACAGTACAAAAATTACGCATCTTAATAGTTTTTAAATTAGTTTGATTAGTCGGATTTTATTAAGAAATGTAGATAATGTTGATGTGTACTGCATTTTTAACTTAAAGGGGTGGTACAATGCCTTTTTTCGCAAGATGTAAAAAAAAAATCTTTGATGTTGAGTGTGTATGTGAAGTTTTATCTCAAAATACCCCAGATATTTTTATATAGCATGTTAATTTTTGTACTTTTTGAGGGTGAGTAAAAATGCACCATTTTTGTGTGTCCCTTTAAATGCAAATGAGTCGCTGCTCCCAGCACAGAGGGCGGAGCTACAAGAGCTCTTGTGTTCCCACTTCGCAGCTTTAATACAATATACTGTATGTGGGATTAAAATCAAACTTCGCTTTATCAATGCATACATAACACACGTGCAGGCGCCTCATATCAAAAACGTTTAGCCTTTTATGATCAAACCAGGGTCAGACAATGATTGGCAGATTAAAGAAGAAATGACAACATGTAGACAACATTTCTGAATGGTTAGTTGATCAATTAATGTAGCTTATAGTTGTCATCTAGTCATTGCTTAGCGACATATTCAGTCATGATAACCTATTAATCTCGGGGGCGGGTTTTATGTAAATTTTAGGGTTAGTGACATCTCTAATCCGGGAGGAATGTGGTGCAGTCCCACCAGCCATTTGCTGTAAAAGCAATTTCTTTAAAAGAAACTTTCCCTTTAATTTGAACTTTGAGCTTTTATGCTCAAACAGCAACATTACACACTAACTAAAGTTAGAAAAGTCACACATATCAACAGGTCAACTTATCATAGTTTCCAGGTAATCAACAAAAAAAAAAAGAGTTAAAGAGCTAAGGGTGCACTACATAATTTTTAATACAATGTAAAAATCATTTAGCTGAGAAAATACTGAATCTGAAAACTCTTCATAAAATGCAAATTTATAAATTATTTCTCAACACAATTAAACTCTCAGCGGCATATGACCTAAAACCTTTTGCCTCACCAGCCAATGGCCGGTGACTTGAATTTTTTTTGGCAAGGAATTGGCAGTTACTTTGTATATAAAAACTACACACGCGGGCACGTATGTATTAAAGGATTAGTTCACTTTTAAAAAAACTTTTGCTGATAATTTACTCACCCCCAGGTCATCCAAGATGTCCATGTCTTTCTTTCCTCAGTCGAAAAGAAATTAAGTTTTTTGATGAAAACATTCCAGGATTTTTCTCCATATAATGGACTTACATGGGAACCAGACGGTCCGAGGTCCAAACGACAGTTAATAACAGTTTCAGTTGCAGCTTCAAATGTCTTTAAACGACACCAGACGATGAATAAGGGTCTTATCATGCGAAACGATCGGTTATTTCAAAACTTATTCCAAAATGTAACTTTTCTAAGGACAAATGCTAGCCTTGCACTATTCTGTGAGGCGTGTTTGCAACGTCACGTAATACGTAATTATGTTCAAAAGGTCACGGCGACGTAGCCGGAAGTACAGAATAAAAATCGCCCGACATCGTTGTTTTACCTTTTAATTCCTTTTTTTTTTGTAAACGCCGTTTGAGTTAGTTTGCACGTTCAACCTATGCGTTCAACTTGTAAACACTGACTCTGTACTTCCGGCTACGTCGCCCGTGACCTTTTGAACGTAATTACGTATTGCATGACGTTACAAACGCGCCTCACAGAATAGTGCAAGGCTCGCATTTGTCCTTAGAAAAGTTACATTTTTGGAATAAGTTTTGAAATAACCGATCGTTTCGCATGATAAGACCCTTATTCATCGTCTGGTGTCGTTTAAAGACATTTGAAGCTGCATCTGAAACTGTTATTAACTGTCTTTTGGACCTTGGACCGTCTGGTTCCCATTGAACTCCATTATATGGAGAAAAATCCTGGAATGTTTTCATCAAAAACCTTAATTTCTTTTCGACTGAGGAAAGAAATACATGGACATCTTTGATGACATGGCGGTGAGTAAATTATCAGCAAATTTTTTTCAAAAGTAAACTAATCCTTTACGTGCCTGTAGACTAACCACGTAATACACATGTGCATGCCATCACCGTTTTCATAGATTCGCATGTTTGAAGTTTACGCTGAGATGATAACGGTCTCGTTTTTTTTGTTTTCAAAACTTGTTTGTAAAAAACATGCACTTTGAAATGTTTGCATTCTCAGGCCACCAAAACAGTCAGATTACATTAAAAGTTTTCTATTTCCAGTTAAAACGGTGTTGTGTAAGCGGCCCCTAACTTAATAACGGGAATCAATCAAACACTTACTTAAGCTGGACAATCATGACTATCTTCTAGACCTGCTGTACAGCCCAAACCATCTTAGCATCAGATGTGTAATTTTAGAAAAGGAAAATCCCTGATTAGCCCAGGATACACATCTTTGTTATATGAGCTTTCTATGTTCATGTCTTGTATCTTTCAGCCCTGTGTTCAGCACCCACAGTGCTCTGCTGTGCTGGCAAGAATGACAGTTGCAGACAGGGTTGTTTCTGTGATGAATACTGCGTCACAGTCGGAGACTGCTGTGCTGACTACAGGCAAACATGCCAGCTACGTGAGACTACTCTCAACATAAAATATACATCCACTAGAATCAGATCAACAGTGACTGAAAAAAGACATATCTGTAACATTTCTTTCCAAAAGTGTTTGCAAGTTAGAGAGGGCACTAGTATCTTCACATTAATCAGTAACTACACTCTAAAAAATGCTGGGTTGTTTTAACCCAACTTTGGGTCAAATATGGACTAACCCAGCCGTTGGGTTAAATGTTTACATTACATTTTTAACCCAACATTTCGGGTTTGTCCATATTTGACCCAACATTGGGTTAAAACGACCCAGCATTTTTTAGAGTGTAGTTAATTAGAAGTGATCGAATGTGTCTATGAAGGCAGTCCCAGATTAGTCTACATTCATGGATTTGTTTGATAAATAAATATCTAATTCTGTTTTTAATATTTATTTAACTTTTTTATCATCAACCTTAGCACCTTCATCATCACCTTCACCACTTTTGCCAACCTCTGTATCATCAACCTCACCACCTTCATCTTCTTCCTTCACCTCACTGTCATTTTCACCATCCATACAATCAACCTCACCAACAACCAACCAATCACCAACATCACTGTCCTCATCACCAACCTCACCACCTTCATCTTCTTCATCAACCTCACCAACAACCAACCATTTACCAAGATCATTGTCCTCATCACCAACCTCACCACCTTCAACCTCTGCATTCTCTTCATCAACACCCCAGCAGAAAGGTACATTATACCATCAAAACCATGTTTTACTGTGCATATGATAATAAATATCTTGTATTTCACAGATATTTCTTACATTTTAATACTCAGCTCTAATTTCAGTAGACTAGACTAGAATTAGAATTTGTAGAATAGAAAAGAATAGAATTTAATAGAATTGAATAGAATATACAAAGTGATGCATTATTCCTTGGAATAAAAATATTGTGTAATGTTCCACAATTTCCAGGAAATATCAGAGCAGTCTTCCACATACGCGTTCGCTCCACAGCCAATGAGGAGGCAATGCGGAAATCTGTGCAGGCTGTAAGTGATTCTTATTTTGAGAGATGATTCATATTAATACAGCACACTCATATTAGATAACTCTGAAAGTGATATATATTGTGTTGTTTTCCTTTCTGGCTTTACTAGTTCATTCTCCACCTCAGTTTGATGAGGAGACAGCGATGTGAAGACTGCAGCACACGAGTGCTAAACATCAGCAAGAAATATCACTGACCATAACATCAAATCAGATTTGCTATATTAGAGCAAAACTTGAGTGATAATGCACTGTTTTTTTTTTAGTAGTTAATCATTAACTGACCTTCAACATCTGGTGGTCTTCAAGTTGTTTGTTTAATCCTCCATGGTGTGTAAATGATGGCACTATAAAATAAAAAATCATGGATTGCTTAATCACAAATAACTCATAAAGTCTGAATTCAATTCAATTTAGAGTTTCTATATATCTTTGCAACACATATCAATCAATTGTATATATATATATATGAATGTGGTCCAATGATGAATCTTAATTCTTCAATGATGAATTCATTTTGAATGAATGAGCAATTTTTTAGCATTTTTGTTAATGTTAGTTTATAAAAATGTTAGTTCACAGTGCATTAACTAATGTTAACAGATAATGTTTGAATTAACATTAACTCTTATTGTCATATGCCCTTTTGAATTCAAAGTCGAGTGTTGTTAGGTTTAATAAACATGTGTCTAATAGAGCTTTGTGAATGTTCAGTACAACAAAATTGTTTTCCTGTGCTCTACTCATACTTGGGAGATTAATAATCAGCTTCAGACAAACAGGAAGTAATGTGTTAAATGTTACACGATGACAGACTGACAAACAAAAATCTTAGATAAGCAACACAAATTAATACAAAATGATTCGAGTAGTTTATCCAAAACCTGCATGGATTTGCTAGGTCTTGCAAGAAAATTATTATTATTTATTTATTTATTTATTTATGTATTTATTTATTGCGGGCAATGCTGTATTTAAGTGATTATTAAATAATTGCATCACTGTTTGCATAAATGTGGGTAATTAGTTGCCAGTGCTAGGTAAATGTTTGTAAACAGATGTTTGTGATTCATTAGGCTAGATGACTAACTAAACATGTAGCCTAATAAACAGCCCTATTTTTGATTGACATCTGATCTATCTGATGCAGTGGAGTCTTAAAATATTTATAATCCATTTTTGAATATATAGTTGGAGGCTATATTTTTGACAATAGATTAATTTTTATTTTTTAATTACAATACAGAGTATTGGTATTTGAGGGATAACTTATTTGGGGTGCTGATTAACATTAATACGTTCATAGCACATGAGCTCAAATTAGATAAATATTACTTTCAGGGATATCTATATAATCTACTTCCTTTCTGGCTTAGTTCACTCTCCACCTCGAGGGTTTGATGAGGAAACAAAACAGCGTCGTGAATGAACGCAGCACGAGCGCGAAACGTTAAGGAAATAACACTGACGTAGGAATCATGTCATTTTAACTACATTAGAATTGCAATACCTCTTTAATGTTTTAGTAGCTAGTTTATTATTACCTGATCTTCTGCATCAGCTCTTCCTCCACGTGTTTGGTTAATACTCCGCGCGCGCGGTGAGTTAATGAGGGCACTAGATGGCAATAGAGAACAAAACCTGTTTTTTTATGCCAATCAAAAATACAACAATGTACAAACTGCACAAATAATGAAAGCAATACAGCACATATGCATGGTCTGTATGTATACTCATACTATATCAACATAAATAAAAAATAAAGTTAAAAAAACAGAACAGAAAGCTTTAATAAAATAAATCAAAAAGTTTAAACAAGTTTGTGGTCTTAAGTGCTTTAAGATTCTTGCTGAAATGCTTTGGATGTATTGCTGGACCTCTCTTCTAAAAACAATGAATAGCCCAAGGGATTCTGCTGCGTAAATTTACTATGGTGAATGTGAAATTTTGCAAGGAACAATAATAGAGATTAATAATAAAATACTCATTAAATTTAGCTTTTTGAATATTAAAGAAGCTAAACAGTACATCCTTAAAGAGCAAGGAAAAACCCGGAAGCACATTGCGTTTAATACGAAAATTCAACCCAAAATAAACTGTGTGTAAGGACAATCCCAGAAGATAAGGAGAGCAGTTTCCTCAAGTGCACCACAAAAAGAACAACTTGTGTCTATATCTGACTTAAATCTTTTCAAAAAAGCTTTAGCAGGGTAAAATTTGTGTAATAATTTACATGAAATTTCTCTAACCTTGTTAGTTATTGTGTATTTCAAAGGCAGAGTCCATACTTTTTTCAAAGAGAATGAAACTTGTAGCCTATCAGAACTAATGTTAACAGATAATCCCTTAAAAATGTATTAGTAAATGTAGAAATGAAAACTTACAGTAATAAGATCAATACTACATACTGTAGAAGTATTGTTGTTTTTTTAGTTCATGTCAACAAAAGTTATGTTACCTAATGAAACCTTTTGTAAAGTGTTACAATGAATTATTAATAATGTGAACACAATGTAAAGTGGTCATTATTATTTTCAATCTTGAAGTCAAATGAAAATGGTCACTCTCTGTAAAATAATCTGTTTAGTCAAGCAGTTTTTTGCTGACTGAAAACCTCTCTTGTTTTGTTAGCTTCTTCTCTGAAGTTGTGGAGGAATGATCAGGTCACAGAAGTGAGATGGTCAGCTCAGCTCTACCCCCAGGCTTCAACATGTCTTCAAAGAACAGCGGGCGGATAGATTAAATTAAGACAGGTCGGACCTTTCCTCGGGTCAGGATGCTCCTCTCTTGACCCAGGATATCAGCTGCCCTCAGAGAAACAGTTTCTGGGTTCTAGTCACATTTCCAGCCACTGATATACCGTCAGACTCAAGTCATTGAGTGTGTTTGCATGTCATTGCTTCCACAGACGTAATTATTGTGTTTGTGTGTGTGTTACACATATATTATGTTCACTGGGGATCTGTGATTTGTTAAACACATTTTTTTTTGTAAATCTGCTTTGAAAAAATATGTCTATAATGTATTACAAAAATAAAACTTGGAATGTCTTCAATTGCATTATTGTTGCAGCTATTGTATAAGTCACTCAAAGTCACTCCTTGCAGTGATTTTACCATAATCTATTCAGGGGGGGGGGAGCATCTGAAAAATGCCCAAACCCCTCTAAAACGAGGAAAATATATATATATATATATATATATATATATATATATATATATTTATATATTTATTTATAAATTTATTTTCTAAGCAAATAAGACCTGCTGGGACTGTGCAAAAACCTTTGCTGGGAGAGAATAAGAGCAGTATAAAAAAAAACATCATCATTAAATTAAACTTGTCGCAGCAATTCCAGAGTTTTCAGTTTCACTGGTCATTTGATATGGTTGCAAAGAACTTATGAAATGAGATGTTTGTTTTAACCTAAAAACTTAAGGCAGCATCTTAACATTTTGGTTTTAGTGTGGAGATTTGTATAGTGTACTAACACATATTAATATGAAGATGCTGAATGGATTATGATGGATTATGAACCAGGCCAAATAAGCCTTTGCCTTGAGGATTCAAACTGAGAGGCCCACACTGTAACCCAACAGCTGGAAACAAGCCACTGCAGATGTGAAACTGATATACACAGACAAACAGCACTTCATTGAGTTTACCAGCTTCTATTTACAGCTCAGAGCATATGACCTTGGCAACAACCTTTGCACCCGTTGTATAAATTGATTTCCACGCAAAGTCCATATTATATCATTTTATTCTGGAGGCCTCCTATGAGATGTGAGACTATGGTGGCTGAGAGAGCTCAACGTGCTGCAACTGAAGCAAAAACATGCACATAGAAAAAAACAAACATCTTAATCAGTTTCACAACACACGTGTGCTCCAAATACTGAAACGCGCTGCAAAAGTTCACGACATTTAGCTGACGCTTTTATCCAAAGCGACTTACAATTGCTATATATGTCAGAGATCACATCGCCTCTAGAGCAACTAGGGGTTAAGTGTCTTGCTCAGGGACACATTGGTGTCTCACAGTGGATTCAAACCCAGGTTTTTCATACCAAAGGCATGTGTCTTATCCACTGCGCCATCACCGCCCGTTCCATTTCTACAACACAACCAAATACAGAAACGCACCGCAAGCATAGACAGTAAAAGAAATGGACACGGCGGCCCCATTGTTTTCAACAGCTTCAAAACTTTCAAAAAAAATTTTTTTAAAACTGCTTCTATGGGGCTATAACGTAAGATACGAGGTAACAGAGCTATTTATACATTTTCGTGTTGCTTTAGAAAGAAATAATGGACAAATGGAGTCTTTGGATGCCTCAGATGTAAAGTTGTTCTCAGTCAAATTGACACCAAAATGAATGGGAGTCAATGGGATGCTAACAGCAGGTGAAGTTCTGCTACAATGGCGGCTTCCGCAAGGCAACTGATGGATTACACCCTTGGGCCGCAAGTAACAAAAACTACAACGGAAATGTTTCCAGGGGAGCCAAATAAGTGACGAACCCGACTGGGACGTACTAAATGCTCCTGAGTATCCCTATCCCATCCCTATCCCTGAGTATCACATATTGTAGTTAATAACTATAATAATGTGCATGGGGAACAGGACTTCCTGTCAAATAATTAAAGTGCCTACCTTAAATGTGTGTGCCAGTGGCTTCAGCCACAACGTGTGTGTGTGTGTGTGTGTGTTGGGGGGGGGGGGGGGGGGTTTGGGGGGTTGTGTAGGCCCACCAACCCTATCTCACGACGACCACATACATAAATAGGAAAACGTACTAAACTTCTGTCTTGGAGCATTCTCTCTTTTGCTTTTTTTTTTTTTTTTTTTTTTGACAAAACATCAAACCAGAGGGTCTCACAACACCAATCCGCCCTTGCTATATAGGTAGCCTACCCGTTTCCAGGTTCAGTTTGATGCTCAGGTCCCTCCGAAATCTCCAGCTCAGGCCACCATCATATGATGCGCCCCTGATTTGCTTTTGGAAACTCGAGGAAACTCAAAACTGCGTAGGCTATTGCAAGTTGTTGGTGCATTACTGAAGATTACACCTCTCTCTCTCTCTCTCTCTCTCTCTCTCTCTCTCTCTCTCTCTCTCTCTCTCTCTCTCTCTCTCTCTCTCTCTGATTTTAAGATATTGTCAAAAGCATTAACTAATCGACTTAAAAAATGTAT